CATTCCTACCACTATATTTTGGAAGTGATTTTGGATATTTCGTGCAGTGGTTTGTTTGTCCATTGCTACATAGTGTGCAATAACATTTGGTACGAGGGCTATCCAAATTCGATCATCCTCAGTCTGGAGAGCCAAATTGAACGTCCTGTTATTAGAGGTCAGATGTATTCCACTTGGTTTATTTGTAATTTGATCATTTTGCAACTGATTTTAAAGACTAATTCATATTAATTTATAGTTTATTTATTAATTTCAAAATCTATAATTAATTTTACATAAATTTTTGTATTTGATTCATATTTTTTTATAAATTTTGAATATAAATATCATATTTTATATTTTATTTTAATTGAATTTGATATAAAAATTTGTATTAAATTAATTTAAAATATTATATTTAATAAAATTTATATTAATCATCACATTAATATTCATATTTAAAAAATCATTTTAAAGTAGTAATATATATAGTAACAAACCCAGAATGTTTATTTTATTGACGGTTTTTCGAGGAAGCACCCAAGAAAGGACCACGTTCGAGGATGAACAAGGCAGCAATTGCGATCCGATTCAATCATTTCAATTATATTTAATTTTTTATTAATTTTTTATATTCGATAATCAAATTAAATTTTAATTAATTTAAAATTTAATTACATCAAATTTTATTTAATTTTTTTTAATATTTAATTTTTTTTATATAAATTAAATATAAAATATTACTTAAAAAAACTCGAATTCTTTTCTATCAAACCCACACTTGTTACTTTTCAACCATGTTTAATGGGTTTTATAATTGTTTATCCTTGCCAAACATCACCGGACCCACCCCCAGTTTTGTGCATTTGTTCCTTAGTCCAGATTGCAACACTTTTAATTGGAATTAGCCGCCACACCAAACGAAGCATATCATTTCATTGGAAAAATATTGTTTTTTTTTGGCTATTGGCAGTAAAGTCAGTTCATATGTCGAATTTATTTGAAAATTATATTTAGTGGGGAGGACCACCAATCCACTTGCTTGATTTTTTGGTTTAATCTTTTCTAATAAAAATGGAAGTTGAAGAGCAGTGCCATCTAGTGTGGAATGACATGAGATTTTTGCACAATTACAAGAGGTGTTTGGATTAGCGATTCAGATAAAATTAATAACAATTTACCTGCTCTTTAACTTTGATAATGTTTGCAAGTGGAATGACAATCCACTCTCGCTTGTCTTTCTGGATTAATCTTTTCTAGGGAAAAAGGAAAGTTGAAGAGCAATGCTATTTAGTGTGCAATAACATGAGATATTTGCACAATTACAAGGTGTTTGCATTAGTGATGCAGGTAAAATTAATAGTCAATAAAAAAATGTTTTATTATTGATAATAATTATTATATACAATATAAAATATTTAATTTATTTAATTAAAATTCATAATTATAATTATTTTCAAAAAAATAATCCCAACACCCTCTCCATCATTAACCCATATCTTTTTTTTTTGTTTTGTTTTGAATAGTCTAAGTGATCCCCATGCTTTAGCCTAATTGTTGAAAGTTTTTTTTTTTTTTTTATAAGGACAATGGTTAGAGATTAATAAGGTTAAAATTGTTAATGAGAGGTACTGAACCTGGATAAAAATGCAATCCACCAACTGTCCTTTTTAAGCAGCAGCGGCTATAGCCACAACAGAGAAATGTAAAAAAGAATAGAAATTCAACCCTACACTCAAAATAAGATACTCTTTAACCAATGATTAAATACCCCCTTGCCGCCACACTGGCTTCTTAATATAGTTAAAAGTTGAAACTCTTGATTAGTAAAGATCACCTCTCGTGAATTGCCTAAAAAAGGGAAATAATAAGTCTAAGTGTATGTCAGTCATTTTCAAAATCAAATCCTCGCATTGAATATGGATGCTATCGGTTACTCAGCCAACTGACCCACGAATGGGACTCTAATCTCTATCAAGTTTTAGGCCCAATACTTGTTGAGTGTCAAAAGAAGTTTCAGGCCCAATACTTGT